TAAGTGTAATTATAAATTAAATATAATGCAATCTATCTTCATATTGAGTTTCTGCTAAATATAGGAATATATAAGGATTCAAAAATATGTTAAATTTAAGACAGTTAACCTTGTAAAGCAAAATTAAAAGTCAGGGCTAGAGAGATAGTTCAGCAGTTAAGAGCACTTGCTGCTCTTTCAGAGGGCCTGGATTCGATTTCCAGCACCCACATGGTGGCAAACAACAATCCAGTAACTACAGTTCTAGGGGATTTGACATCCTCTTCTGACCTCAGCAGGCATTGCACAACACAGGTGCACTTACACATATGCAGGCAATACACTCATACACATAAAATAAAAATAATAAATATGTTTTTTAAAAGTTATAAAATTCTGATTCTGTAGCCTGGTCTACATAAGTGAGTTCCAGGCCAGCTGGAGCTACAGGGAGACCCTGTCTCAAAAGAGCAAAAAAAAAAATCTGATTCTGAACAACAAAAAAGCTATGGATAATCTTTCTTCTGTGATCTTATTTTAAATGTATACCCTCAATCTAATCAAGAGAAAATAGCAGATAAACACCAAATAAAGACTGATCAGTACTCTAGAAAAAGGTCAAAGTTATGAAGGATAAAGTAAGAATAAGTAACTGTTATAGATAGATATAATAACTAACAAGTTGAATCCTAGAAAAGAACAGAAAGTTTAGAGGTAATCTTCATGAAATTTGAATTGGTTCTATAATCTAATTAGTATTGTTAATTTCCTGATTTTCATGATTGCACTTTTGTTATATAAGTGTTAATATTAGGAGACCATAGATGAAAGGATTATGAGATCTTCATACCATTTTCAAATTTTTGTTTAAATTAAAATTATTTGTGTGCATGTTAATAAACTAGAACAGAATAAAATTTTTAAATTCAAAGAAGAAAAGAGAATTTTACTAACTAGATCGATAAATAGTATCTGGACAAGTTTTTGCCTTTGAGGGGGGGCAGTTCTTCTTGAGACAGGGTCTCTCCCTATAGCCCCAGCTGGCCTGGAACATGCTATGTAGAACAGGCTGGCCTCAAACTCAGAGAGATCCACCTGCCTCTGCCTCCCAAGTACTGGGATTAAAGGCATGCACCACCATGCCCAGCCATATTTTTTTGTTTTAATGAATTATAATTCAGTCTTTTATTCCAATATTCTTAGTAATTCCTACCAATTCATGTAATATTTTATATTAAGGATATTAACTATTTGGCAAAAAAATACTTCATTTTTGTTTAAGGGTTTTTTTCTGATTTTATTAATCATTAGATTTAAAAAATACAAATAAGCACATAGAAAAATCAGCTTCCAACATTACTAAATATGATTTAAATTAAGAAGTTAAATAATATTGTGCTTTTTACTATTTATTTATTTATTTATTGCTTTCACTGAGGATCAAACCCAGGGTCCCTTATATTTGCATAACAGGTACTTTGCCGTTGAAGTAATAGCCCAATGCCATGCACCCTTGATAGTGGTGTACTTAACGTAGGAACAAAAAATAATAGAAAATTTTTTACAGTTAAAATTGCTATCTAGTGTTCTGTTGTATAGATAGGCACTAAAAGTGGTCTTTTGGTGTTCAATTTTTTCCTACTCTGAACTTCATAATTTTTAATACTTTTACTGATTCTTTGAGAATCTGATAATATTCAGAACACCTTCCCCCATCTCCTCAATCCACCAACACCTCCCCACCTACCCACTTATCTTTTTCTTTTTTCTTTTTTCTTTTCTTTTTTTTTTTTTTTGGGGGCCTCCCTATTTCCCCCTGTTGGCCTGAAATC